GGATGGCTGTAGGATGGCTTTGGGATGGCTTTAGGATGGCTGTGGGATGTACCACTTGTCCTCCCCATCCCAATTTCCCTTCCCCTCGCAGTAGCCTTGAAAATCTAACAATCAACTATTGGAGTAGGAGCATGAAGTTTCTTACAGATGTTGCACCTTTCCCTCAGGGTTCTTCTCACGTTATGCAACGCAAGGAAATCCATTCGATGATGTGTACGTGGAAGATGAAGGGGAAGACGTCATGGCACAAAACGGGGTCAGTTCGGTTGCTTTGACAACTTTATAAATGACCAGCAATAGTGTTAACTGATGCATTCAGGAATATTGAGCTTCATGGAGGGAGGCAGGGAGAGATATGTAGTTATAATTATGTTGGACTGCAGACAGACTTTTACCCGCTGGAAAATTGGAAAGGTTGTACTTTCAAATACGCCATTCCAAGAATAGAAACTTGTATCATACGCGATATTTTTTTTGTAAACTCTACTTTGTTTGGTCTTAAATGTAGTTTGCAAAACCCAATAGCCTAAATTCTAATTCAATCAGAGAGTTAGCCGTTCCTTGACTCTGATTGCCGGCCAGGGGTTGTTTCAGGGTTCAATAAAACTTAAATGTTTTTTTGAAGGGAGTCGACCTTATTGGTTGCCCTTTGAAACTGCCAATCACTTGTCAAGTTATAGTACTGTTAAAGCAGGAAAAGTATTTTGGTCTATTATGTTTGTTTTTCCTGTTAGCTTGACGGAGATGATGGCAACAATGATGACGAGGAAGACGACGATGATGAGGATATTGCAGGTAAACACACAAACAAGCAAACATGGGGAGTTTTTGTTCAAAAACTCAAGCGAAATTTGTATCAGAAAGTATTCGTAATTTTTTATATCGTATTGTAATGAACATGGTTTTTAAAACGAAGCATGTTTTTCCCCCCAACAACGAAGTTCATATTATAAATTTATTGTGCTACTATTATAATATAAGTAATATATAAAACGCGCATGCATGTCTCTGTACTGTGATATAAACACGCTGGGAGCTGTAGAGCAAGAGAGAAGCAAGAGAGAAGCAAGCTTAGGACCACGAGTCGTAGCCGAGTGTTTCTTTCGTTTTTTGAGTGCTCTACAGCTCCCAGAGTGTTTATGTCACAGTACAGAGACCATAAGCAGTCGTTTTATATTGGTTTTATAAAATATTTTTGAGCAATTTTGCGCGAGCGTGTCTCGTGTTCTCTGATATAAGAACGGTAGCCAGCCAATCAGCGCGCGTGTTTTATTTCAAATACTTTATGTTTTATTGAACATGGTTTGTAAAACCAATTCTAGATGAGTTGAAGCTGGATTACGTTGACGAAAAAACAGGCGAGATTCCTGCTGGAAGGTGAGTAATGCTTCCTGATTCCTGAAGGGAGAAACTACTCAGCCGATATGAGATGTTAGCAAATTAGGATGGGGAAAGTTTGCAAAACTGAGGTGGCACTTTTCCACTTGAAATTATTGATTTCCAGGCCACAAAATGAAAAAAATGACGTTGCTAATAATTAGATCTTATTAACCGAGCGGGAGGTCTGTACGGAATAATCTTGACCGAGGTCAAGATTATCCCGTACAGACCGACCAAGCTCGGTTGATAAGAGTTTTATTATATGACCACTTTTCATTGAAAAGGACAAAATGTTTTCGCCGTAAGATTAATATGCGATCGGACCGGTTAATACCGGAGAATCTAGACCAGTCCGCGATGCGATCTATCCAATAAGATTGCTCGATTTGCTAGTGCCCAGGCTCTAAGATTCACGGTCATATAATAAGAGGTTGATAACGAACACAATAACTTATACACCTAAATCCAAAATGGCGCACGGCCGATTGTTGTACATGTAAACGAGGCATCCAGGGCCAAATGCAAAGAAACAATAGGGTGTCAATGCAAAGTATACACTTGTTCACTCGTTCTGTCTTTCTTTTCTTCTTACATTCAGGATAACGACAATTTTGCAGCATCGATTTATAAGAAAATACTGTAAATTTGTAAATTTGGCGCTGGATGCCTCGTTTTGAACCGGCCGTGCGCCATTTTGGATTTAGGTGTATGAGTTATATATTTTTGTTGCAAAGGTCGACACCTCAGTTTTGCAGTGACGTCATTTCTACGTCTACTATTCTACTATTTCAGATCGGCTGGACAGAGCACTCAGTTGATGTAATGTATTCAGAAAATCTATTGTATTATATTGTTGTTCCCTCTATTGTATTAGGTGTGATTCATATGAATACAATACATCAACTGCTTGCTACAGAGGCGGTCCCGATTCCTGAAGCCAAGCAGTGCAGTGGTACAACTGTCACTCACCTTTATATCATATGGTTTCTTTTCTGTTTTGTAGATCAGATGGATATTTACTCAGTCGTAAACACCAGCGGTTCTTGTCTCGCGTGCCCTGCATTACCAACACTACTTTGAACGTGTTGAGGGTTTTTGGTGAGTAACTTGGCATATTGCAGGGGATAATTTACCTTTTTCTTTCGACAAAAAAAGGAATAAGTTTTCAGTGGGTAACGAAAATAGAACAGAGCTCACGAAATAGAAAACATGTTGATCGGCTTGAAACAGCCGTACTTGTTCATGTTTGGGGAGTGTCAGTAACACTTCATAGCCTTACTAACAAACCTGTTGCCCTTGTTTCATGTTCGAAATGGAATAGACCTGTTGCAGCACGTCAGAATGAAGCCCAATTTGAAGGACATAACAATGGTTTTCTAACTCTCTGGCGATTGAAACATGTTCTTTTGTTTTGTCCTCCAAATTGAGCTGCGCTGACGTCACATGCAAGGGGTCTTTTTAGAAGAGGTGATATTTGTAGAGCTGGAGGAAGGTAAACCGGAGAAAAATCCTAAAAAAAACAGGAGCAGCTTTACTCACATGATAGTGAGTCGGAAACGCGAATCGACCACCACAACGATGAGAGGCGCTCTAGCAGTACACTCCTTTCGTGCTTCTCAACTCTTAAGCTCCGACTCCAAAAGACTCCAATCAAGAAATCTCTTTTTTTACCCTAATTCGCCCACTTTAGTGCGCAACTGCGCAAAGTATTTTGCCCTTGAACCTGCACTTGACAATAGTTAAGATATCAATCTAAGGCTCATGTCTAACGTCGAACTTCACCTAATTACATCCAAGTAGACCGCCTTGCTACCCATTGTTTCAACTAGGTTTGGCTCATGCGAAGTTCCACTTTTGACTTGACACTTATTTGTGTATCGTCAGTGTGTGAAAGTGTTTGTTTTTATTGTCAGGTAAATACATGCAGATGATGAATGTTCTCAAACCCATCGCCTTTGACGTAGTGATCTGCATGTCACAACTCTTTGACTACTATCTCTACGCGGTAAGGATTGTTATTTTTGATTGTGCTGTGTTCTGTACTCCCCTACTCAATGTATTGGTAACTTCACTACTGTTTCAATTTTTTTTTCAAGATACGAGAATATAAGTAACTGGAAAAAAAAAACGTCCCTCAACATTGCTGCTTAGCCCGTGTTATCACTCTTCAAAACCACTGCGTTGCAAGTTAAAGGGAATGCGCCTCGTACTAGTGCCATCCCATCTTGAATTCCAAAATCCGGCATTTTCTTGTTGCAAGGAGTAAAGAGAACTAGGAGTTCGTGCATATCGTGAAACAAACAAAAAATGTTGCGTGTGGATTTGTACGGGCCATATGTATACGTGCGACTTTCGCTCTGTGACTTACAGCGGAGTCGATTTTGCTCAACTAGTTACAGGTTTCCCGTATTAGCTCGTATAAGATGTTGCTCAACAAGGTGCATGTTGCCCTATTAGTCATTACGAGGTTGAGGAACTTGGTCGAGTTGGCATTGTTGTGAGACTTTTTTAGGTCACGTGATAGACGTCAACTTGAAAATATCTCCAATAAATAGTCCCACAATGCATTGCAATACCAACTCGACCCAGTTTTTCATCAACCTGAGCATGATAATTACTCTAGGTCGTTATATGCGCAAGATCAATAGAGTCCGATACAAATGAATTATTTCGTCTGATGTATAGCATTTGCTAATTTATCGTTATGTTATATCTTGTTGTAGGTAACATCTTTCTTTTCCCCGGAGGTTCTGGTGAGTAAGACTCGTACTTTATATTTGCTAAAAGGAATAAGGCATGTTTTACAAGGCTGACAGCAAGTAACAGATTTTCAATAGCAAGGAAACCCAAATGGCCGCATGTTTGACTTCTTATTGATTTCTTTAGGTGGATGGTAGTACACATGGCTTAAGTATAAAACTACGGACGACTTTAAAGCGTATCTCAGATAATCTGATCCTCAGTCCTGAACAAGAAATGAATATGGAAGCACCCGCGGACGACATGAAGGTAACGCGTTTGCATTGATCTTCTCATTATAACCATGACAACCATCGATTTTCTTTGCTTCGTTTCTTCCTTTAGTAGTGGTAACAAGGTAGATGCGCGTGCATAAGGCATATTACCTTCAATCATCCTTATCGTTTGACTAATGTTATGCTGAGCGAAGCGAATGAATAGGACACATGATAATCATCCATCCATCCATCGTTCTCTTTCTTTCACTCAGTGTAACGAAGGTTGATTCGTGTGCATAGGACATATACTGACTATGATAACCAATCATCCTTATCGTTTGACTGTTATGCTGAGCGAAGCGAATGAATAGGACACATGATAATCATCCATCCATCCATCGTTCTCTCTCTTTCACTCAATGTAACGAAGGTTGATGCGCTGGCATAGGATATATACTGACTATGATAACCTTCAATCATCCTTCTCGTTTGACTAATGTTATGCTGAGCGAAGTGAATGAATAGGACACATGATAATCATCCATCCATCCATCGTTCTCTTTCTTTCACTCAATGTAACGAAGGTTGATGCGCATGCATAGGACATATACTGACTGTGATAACCTTCAATCATCCTTATCTAAATCTAATGCGTTTACCACTCCTGGGTGGACGGCTTAATGCCTAACAGGCCTTGCGACCCAATTGATAAGGCAGCCGGTAGATCGAGTAAGAATTTAGAAGTTGATTTTTGTGGATGGAGGAACTAAACCGGCGGAGAACCTAGACGCAGGGTCATGTGCAAGTGTATGACGCATTCTGACTAAGATAACCAAGCAATATACTTCATTTTTTCATTTTCAGGCCGATTTTACTATCTTGCACTGCGCCCAAAAAGGAAAGCGACTGAGCAAAAACATTTTTTAAATGACGCTTAGTGCTGATTCTAGCCGTCTGGAAATAAGCCACTGATGCAACCATGCACTGTGAATATTTATTAATTTGTTGTTTTCATAAATTTCAAGGTTCCACATCCTCATCTATCACCCATGGTTGACCTTCAAATACACAACATGTATGGCCTTCCGGAAAGAATCCTAGCAACTGAATCATTGTAAGTCATCATTCCTTGTGCCTAATCCTATGAATATAGACCTCTTTACCTTGGGTGTTGTCCCAGATAGTGTGTTATTCTCTTGAAAATAAGATTCTTTGTTTGAGTTGAATCCAATACTCATGTGTCTTCTCATACACAACCGTCAAACAACGAAATGATCAACTTGAAAAATAGGTTGATCCCTTGCTCTGGAATATTATCAATATATCTTGGTCTTAAGAGCAAAAAATATTATAGATTGTAATGATCCACACTCATTTGACTGATGAAGACTGTGCGATACAGTCGAAATATCTCGTACAATCTATAATAATTTTTGCTCTGAGTCAAATAATTTATATATCGGTAAATAAATAATACTCTAGAAAATGACTGGTCTGAAATGAAAAAAAAAACATTGCGCACCAGCTAATTAGCAGTTAGTCCTCAAGCCTGAATGGGGTATGAGTGAGTCAATAGCTCATGAGGCCCGCGAAGCGCGATTGAGGTATTGGCTCATAGGCCATGAGGGCGAGAGGACTAATTGATTTAGTCAAACCCAACTAGTCGGTCAAAGATATAGATGCAAACAAGTCTTCAATAGTCCCCTTCACAGTTCCCTGCGCCATCTTGAAAGGTAGCTGTGCCTTTTCATCGAAGCGAGGCGAACGGTGAGCTTGCGATGATAGACACATGCGAATAATTGTCCAAGGTGTTAAAAAAAGGTCTCTATCATTGCAAGCTCCCCGTTCGTCTCGCTTCGATGCAAAGGCACGGCTACCTTTCAAGATGGCAAGATGGCATAGGGAACTGTGAAGGGGACTATTAAAGTTAAATTCAACTTTTTGGCTCTCAAAGCCGGTACTAGCAGGATATAACTCATAGCCTAGTAGTAGCTCATCCAATCAGAACGCAGCATTGATGATAGACCACTAGTTGGACTTGACTAAAGAGATTTATTGTACAACTTGTTCTGATGTCAGTTATAATCATATCTTGTAATTTTTTTTCTTTTCAGAGTATTTCTCGCCAACCAATTCGAGTTTCTTCAGAGCCACCTCGATTCCATGATTCCTCAAAACAAACGCGCCTTTTTGTCACAGTTTTACTCACAGGTAAATACACAAGAAGCAGCTCGCTTTTTCCCGGATTCTTCGGTTTCTCCCCTCCTGATAGTCTCCTTCCCAACCGTCATTAGTTTCGGTCCCAGATCCTCACGGGCGACGGCTGTATAGGAGGCTACCCTCCTGAAAACAGTTCTCAATTCCAATAGAGTTCTCTGGAAGAAGACCCACTCTGGAAATACCGTCCTGTCAATAAGTCCCATCTTATGATTTTAATGGCAGTTTTTCATGTGCGCCATAAGTCAGGGCATAAATACATATTGGCGCCAACATCGCAGGGATTTATTTCTATGTAATTTTGTGCGGTGTTTTTTTTTTTTTTAGACAGTAACTACAGTCCAAGAGATTCGTAAACCCACCTACAGAGCAGTGGCTGCTCGAGTCATCGATTATGAAAAGGTATTTGAGATATCGTTTTCAATTTGATTATGAAATATACATCATCTAACCTTATGGTGCACCTTCGACACAAACTGAATACACAGGTTAAAGTAAAGCGCGCGACTAAATCTGGTCCAATCAGATTGCGCAAACACAGAGACGCAGCACAGTCACCGGTCTCGTCACGCCTTTTCCGTGTCGTTAGTTTTAAAGTCATGCAAATTCCTTTCTACGACTAGGGTAACGGTCACGAGGGCTTCTCTCATCAACGCGACTTGGGTAGAGTTAACTGGTGGTTCTTTGTTTACAGGATTGTCTTCTCCTGTTTTCTTGTCTTAACATTCTTCATCGCCTATAAAATTGTACTTAAAAATATTTATTCATTTATTTTTATAATATTTTTTTTTCCTGTAGACGTTGCAGTTGATGCAAGGTGTTCGGTGGGATATCAAGGACATTATGTCACAACACAATACTTATGTTGATATCTTAGTTAGGGTAAGTCTGTCAATAAGTTCCTCGCTTTCTGGATTTTAGGTTATTGACCTCCTTCTAACAAGATTACTACTAATAGACCCCTTTGATGTGACGTCAACGCAGCTCAATTTGGAGGACAAAACAAAACAAAAGAATTTTAATCTCCTAAGAGTTTGAAAACTATTTTGTTGTCCTCCAAAGCTACATTCTGACGTGCTGCAAGGGACCTATACCAAACAATTGATTTCAAGGTTGGGTGACCCTTGTTTCTTTACCCAAGGAGAAGTCTTTTGTTTTTATCCCCACAGAAGAAAGGTGGGGGAGTGGGAGTAGGCGGGGCATTTAGACTAAAGAGATTGCCCTAGTCACCTAGCATTAGCACCACCAGGGGAAATATTCTCCTGGCACCACCCTATACATCGCGTGAAAGTACGTCCAAATTTATGAACCTGGATCATTTAATTGCAAATTACGAAATATGACTTAATCGTGCCTTTTTTCAGGAATTTCAAGTTTTTAGCATGAAGATGACACAGCTCTCGAAGTAAGTGATTCTCGAGCGCAGACTCATTTCCAGTCCTTCTCCATTTTATCCTTAAACAAATAGAGGTCTAGGGGAAACGGTTATGGTATATTGAGGGTAAAAAACGCTATCAAAATCCGGCTGCGTTTAGACGGTACCGCAACGATTTGACCTGCATAAAAATACGTCGTTCTTACACGGAACCGGATCCAAATTTGCAGTACTAATAAGCATGCGAATTTTTGTTCGGATGACTAAGTCCCGTGTGAAAGGAACCCCTAAACGTTCCACTTTTTGACCGGTTAAAGATTCGTCCGGTTCCTCGTAAATGCAGCCTTAATAATGATTTATTATTTCCAACAGACGTATTCCTGTCCCCAAGGAAGTGTACGTTGTATTGTGGGATCATTGTGTTCGATTAGCAAATAGAACATTTGTAGAAGGGTAAGTCTGTAAATGTAACTCGCTATTTTGAACCCATCCTACTCCTGACTGCACACTGTTGGTAATAATTTGCTGTAAGATATATTGTTATTGAATGTGATGAAACTGGATTCGATCATTCTCATTGGATGAGCAGTGACCTAGCACTGGGATTGGTTGACGGAGGTAGTTAATTCCAAATAAATGATTTCAAAAGAAATGATAGCCAAGCATCTGTCGCGACATGGAAATCGGGCAATTCACTGCTGTCAATCAAAGTATATGTAAAGGTACAAGGTATTTGATTGCACGTAGTCTATTTCCCGATTTCCCTTCGAGACTGTTGATCTCAATCATTGCACAGCAACGAAAACTATGGTAATGCAATCAGATTCGGCGCACAAAAAACTGAAAAAAGTTCGAGTTTGGTCTTGTCCTTAATAGAGTTGTATGAGGTCTAATAGAACCACGAGACACGACACGGTCACGGTAGTATAGCGAAGTCATTAAACCCGTGAAATAGATATTAGACTAACACATTTGTAGACCTTAATTCAATTGTTTTCTTTTGTGTCTATTTGACTATTGCACGTTGACTAGTAATTTTCATTTCACGGGTTAAATGCCTTCACTCTATAAGACCACTTCACCTGTTGCACAGAATATTTGCTATCAAATGTTTGGATATTCAGTCAAAATACACTAAGAGATGTGCTCATATGTATTGATTTGGTCGTGATTAATAGTTTATCTTATTTGTTCAAGGTTTGCAAGTGCAAAGAAGTGTAGTAATGAAGGACGAGCTTTGATGCAGCTTGACTTTCAACAGTATTTGATGAAACTAGAGAAACTAACAGATATCAGGTACAATAACCAATCAGAACGCATTATAAAGAAATGAATGATTAACTTACTTACTCACTTACTCACTTACTCTCTTACTCACTTACTCACTTACTCACATACTCACTTACTCACTCA